CTCCCAGCAACCCCCTCCTTCTGGCCCCGGTCCTTTGTTTTTTCCTTTCTTTTCCTTAACGACTCGCTTCCTTCTTCTCTTCCTCCCTGCAGGGGTCTCATAGATAAGATTCCTGGCTTTTGTCCTCTCTGCTTACTGCCTGCTTCATCTTTAGGTTATGGCAGCTTCAGCCTAGTCTCACAGCCTCCAATTAACAATCATAACATTTAACCCTGTCAACTATGCATCACTAGTCTACATTTAATTAAGCTTTAATTTCTAGCTTGTGCAGATCCTGACATGTTGCTCTTTCTCAGCCCTAGGAAAGAGGCAATGGCGAACACACTTCTGAAAATCTAGCCAAGAAAACTGCAGCGACTTCTCCAGGCAGTTGCTGGGAGTCAACACTGGCACGAAGGCCCAAAACAAAAGACAAAAAACCTAAGGGTAGCCTTGCCTTGGCATTTTTGATTTTAAAAAAAAAAAATTTATTTGCCTACCCCCCTTCGCCCTCCCTGCCTGCCTGCTTCCTTTCATGCCAGTAAAGAAGTGTTCCTCAATCTCAGCAACTTTAAGTTGAGTGGATTTCAACTCCCAGAATTTGCCAGCCACCCATGATCTAGAGCATGCCAGGTTACTCCAAGCCAAGCTGCTTATGTCTCCTCTAAACCAATTCAGCGTGGCTGGCTGGGGAATTCTGGGAGTTGAAGTCCACACACCTTAAAATTGCTGAGATTGAGGAACACTGCAGTAGAGTATTCCATATGGATTGATTTCAAAGAGAAGGACAAAGGCCTGTTTCGCAGAGGTTCATCCCAAGGTCTGAGTCCCACTACCAGCCGAACGTATCGATTCTTCTCCCCTCCCACTCCCGCTTTAGTGTTCCAGGGAGGGTGGGAGTTCTGTGGAAGACCCTAGAGTTGAGAGTCAAGACCCTAGAGTTGAGAGACCCTAGAGTTATTGAGAGTTTGCACAGATTCCTTTTCCTTCTTTAAGCAATAAAACAGTAGAGAGTTATGCGTGTGCTATAAGCACCACCTAATGGTGAGAAGGAAATGCAAGTCTTTAGCCTTTGCATTTTGAAATCATTTTTGCTTTTTGACAGGGAGAAGCACCTGGTAAACATTGGGCTCAGAAGCCGATCAAGCCTTGGTCTAGTTCAGTGATGGCGAAACTTTTGGGCTAGGCGTGTCAAAAATTCGGAAAATACGAAATTGACTCTGCTGGTGTGTCACCCTCCCCCCATCCCTGAACAAGAGAAACAATTCTTTACATAGTCACTTATTTTAAAAAAATACAGTCCGGTCATGTGTGGTGCTATGTATTATATAAAGAAATGACAAATAATTACAAAAATGAAATACGAGTAAAACAAACTCAGTTTCTCTGATAACTCAAACAGGGAGAATAGTTGTTGTCGGGTGTTGGTGAACGCTGGTGTGTCACCCAAAATGTCATGGTGTGTCACCTTTGACAATGTGTGTCATAGCTTCACCATCACTGGTCTAGTTAGTACTTCGATGGGAGACCACCAGACAGAGCAGTAAACTAGATGAGGAAGTTGAAAAAAAGAGACATT